ATTTAATTTTAAAATGTAAATTGACATACAAATATCTGAGGAGAAAAGAGATAGAAACCTGAAGTTTCAGCTAACAGGCACTGGAGTCACATGCTGCTAAATAGGAACATTCAGTGTTCACAAATAAACAGTAGATGGCAGTCACATCTTAACATGAGTTTTTCTTTCATTGAAGCTTGTGCATTTGTCGGTTTGATATATAAAATGTTTAGGGTCAGCCTTTTATTTCAGAAAATTGTCATCACTCAAATAATTGTTTTAATAAATGCTTTATAAAACAGTAAAAAAAAAAGATTAGTGACACATTTCCTCCTGTGTGATGCAATTGCAAACTAAATAAAAATGTGACATTAAAATAATGAGAAAAAAGTAGAAAAACAATTTATTTGAAATATACTACAACAAAACAATACTGACAACAATATCATCATTGCATTTCCCCCCCTAAAATACTGTAATTCACTGAATGAAAACACTATACATTCAATTTAACAAATTAGTAAAAGACAAAAAACATGAATTTTCTTACTATTACAATACAACACAGTATGCCACACTAGACACTTATGACACTCTTTGAAAAAAAAAAAAAAAAAAAAAAAAAAAAAAAACTCTGATATTTACATAATATGGAGCCCTGTACAAAAAAAAAAGTATATCGTCGCCACAAATGAATCACCACAACGTAGCCACGGTTTACTTAAAAGGACAGACCAAGTTAGTCACATGTGCTGATGTATTAGTAACCGTTGACGGTTACTAATACATCAGCACATGTGACTAATTTGGTCTCTCCTTTTAAGTAAACCGTGGCTACGTTGTAATAATCTGTTACCTTGTTTTAGTTAAATCAAACTGAGGGAACGAATTAGGTGGCCACGATTTAGTAAAACGGGAAAACAAATTCTTAATATCATGTGCGGGGCTAAAGTGTCTATATATATATATATATATATATATATATACACACAAGATTCACTAAATGATTAGTACAACAAAATGCAGTCAAACTTACAGTACAAAAGATTTTGGCTACAAATATGCAACATATACAGAAAAGGAACTAGCACCATTTAACAGTACAAAAAAAACATTAATGCTAAAATGTTCAAGCTTTCACATTAACTTTAGAAATGAAAAACATTATTTATCTAAGGTGCAAAAAGAGGAACAATTGCTTTAAATGCCTTTTTGGGTACAGTCCATTTTGAGGAGGTCATCTCGATGCCTCATTCTCGGCAACTTAAAATGCCAACTCTGAAACTACTCAGGAAATAGGCCTAATAAACTACAGTGTATTTGAAGTTCACTTCACTAGAATAGATGAGAAGAATGCATCACAATGTTCATTTCGGAATTATATATATATTTTTTGTTGCATTATCTTACAGAATTTATTTTATTTTACTTGCATGCTCAAAGCCTATGAAGTGAATAATGGGACTGTTTCAGGGAACGTCTATTGGAAAGTGTTGTGCATGTGCACTTTTTTATAGTCTTTCTGGAAGGCAGTTCGGAATGATCTGGTGTGAGCTCTCAATGTAATGAACCTAACACCTACTAATGATGCTTGATGCCATTGCCAGAGGGCGGTGCATATGGTGTAAAAGAAAAACAAAACATTTAGGTTCAAATATTCATTGCAATATAATATTTTTGTGGCATCCCATCTGTATCTGTCCACCACACTACCTCAAACACATCTTTGTCTATTCATAGACACACCTGCTGATATAAATGCTGGCGTCAACCCACACGACAACACTTGATGTGTTAATTCCCATTTGTTTTTACAATAGATCTCAGTCCTCATTTGACTAACTGCAATCTTCTTCAAAGAACTGTAATGCATGTGTTTTAAGACAGGTTTGCACAAACTGGTTGTTATGGGATTAAATTTTGGGTAACACTTTTGAATACTGTTCCATCATTAATGTATAACTGCACAGGAACAACTGAGTAACACAATATTAACATTCTAGTAACTGCTATTAAAGGGATAGGGGGATAAATCTGAGAGGAGAAAGCTGGGAGCTGGATCACTCCTCCATATAGGCTTCTATGGGATTGGAACTGGCCGGCCCAAAAGTTATTTAAGACATCGTTAAAATAGTCCAAGTGACTACAGTGGCTCAATCTTAAATTTTTATCAAGCGACGAAAATACTTTTTGTGCGCAAAAAACAAACAAAAATAACGACTTTATTCAACTATTCATTTCCTTCTCTGTTGGCCTCGAGTTAGTTCACGTAGTGTAACTGCGCAGCGCTTCTGGTTGTACGTCACACGCATCACACACGACCAGCGTCGGCTAATAGTGAGCCTACGTGTGACGTACAACCCAGAAGCGCTGCGCAGTTACACAACGTGAACTAACTCAAGGTATTAACTAACTCACAAAAAGTATTCTCGTCGCTTGATAAACTTAAGGTTGAGCCACTCAAGAAACTCTGATTTACTAAGTTGAATGTGGTAGTTCACTATTAGCTAATCAATAACTACTATTGTTTCATACCTCCAAGAGGACTTATTAGAACTACTCTATACAGGTTCATAATTAATGTGAATAATGCATAATGTATAATTAATTCTAAAGTGAAGATCATGGTAACCCACTAGTAATGACTCAAGTATTATTAAACCCTTCAGAAGGAATTACTAATTATTTGGAACAGTATTCTAAAGTGAAAAGCATAATAACTCTGACAGAAGTCATTGTAAGCTTTTGAAAATTTTGTAAGGTTTTGGATAGTAATTGCTTCTGACGGATTTGGTAATACTTGGGTCATAACTAGTGGGTTACCATGGTGTTTACTTTAGAATACTAATCCAAATGCCCAGCAATTCCTTTAGAAGGATGTAGTAACACTTGAGTCATCATGACTATCCAGAACCTTAGAAAAACCTCAAAAGCTTACAATGACTTCAGTAATTGCTAGTGAGTTATCATGCTTTTCACTTAGAACACTGTTCCGAAAAATTAGTAATTCTTTCTGATGGATTTGGTAATACTTGTGTAATTACTAGTTGGTTACCATGATCTTTAATTTAGAATTAATCATATTGGCGCTTTTCCACTACACAGTACCAGCTCGACTCGCCTCGCCTCGTCTTTGTTTGGTTTTCCACTGTGTAAAAGTTGTACCTGTACCTGCTTTCGGGTACTTTTTTTTGTATCACCTCCGGCGAGGTTCTGAGCGAGCTGAGGCGATACTAAAATGTGACGTGAAAACAATGCCGACTGCTGATTGGTCAGAGAGAATCGTCACTATTCACTGCGATAGTTACTAAACTTAACTTACTACTATTATTATGGCAACTCGGAAGAATACTCCGTGGTCAAACGAGGAGGTGCAGACTTTCCTTTGTTTGGTTGCCGAAGAGAGGATCCAGCAAGAGCTTGATGGGGCAACGAGGAACGAAAGGCGTCGCTATGACGACCGGGTACTATTTGTGGCGGTACTGTCGGCAATGGATAACGGAGCGAAAAGCGAGCCGAGTCGAGCTGGTACTGGTAATGGAAAAGCGGCAATACATTGTGCATTACACTCATTAATTTATGAACCTGTATATAGTATAGAAGGCTAGTTCTAAGTAGTCATTTTGGAGGTATGAAAAAAAAACAGTAGTTATTGATTGGTTAATTGTGAACTACCTCATTCAACTGAGCGCTATTACTTACTAATTCATTAATCAGAGTTTCTTGTTAGTTAATAGTAGTTACTAGAATGTTAATATTTTGCATGACTAATTTTTTCCCTGTGTAGTTAACGTTACACTATTCTAGTAGAACTATTCTAAAGTGTTACCAAATTATGTTTTCAGAAGTACCAAAAAGATCTCTTCTTTGTGCAGTTCATTTACTGTGTGTTGGTGGTTGTGTACTTGTAAGGGATGAATTTGTGTAATTTGAGTTATTGGATAATATTGTTAAACTGTCTAAATACTAAATCTTGGAAATTTCTCTGTATGAATGAAATTACAGAGGTGGAACAGATCCTTTATTACACTGACAAAATAATTCAGCTGCACTTTTGTACTGCTGTAAAATAAAAATTAAAATTTGGACATTGATTGACGTGTGCTGACTTTGCAGGAGTTTCCCTGAAGCGACACCAGGTTAGAGATGTTATGACAGTGCTGAAGAGATGCATTTGACAGTCTCAACAAAGAGTTAAAAAACATCACGTTATTCTTAATTAAAAACAACTTACTGATTAAGCTGAAACACATTACAGTGGAATGTGAGGGGCGCAAACATTGAGGTCAAGCTTTATTTCAAGCCTTATTTTCTAGTTAATTTTGCTAATCCATTCAGCCATATCTAAAACCTGAAGCTTTGAGGCATAAAGCTTAAGGTAAGGTCACACAACAACTGATGTCCAGAATTCTTTTACACAGACTTGTCAGTGAACTGTAATGTAATAAATCAAAAGCTTTTCATGTTTTGCTGGTTTTTAGTAGTTATGCAGTGCCAAGGCATAATAATGTGTCACAGTTTAGGCATAAGTCAGTTGGTTTGCTTTGGTAGCGTACTACCCTTTAGCATAGTGTTAGTTTTGGCAGGTCACGTTAGTCAAGCTTGCATCAGCTGACTCTCAGCTGATCCACGTCTACCTATAGGAATACGACGCCTATCACTGTATACATATATAAGCTCCTTCAGTATTATCAGCAGCTAATATCGCGTTTCTCAGGAGCTAATTACCCTCCTCCATCCCCAGCTCCTCTTCTTGTTCAGTCAGGATTTGGCATTCTGATTCCCCTTTGAAAAACATTAAAATCTTGAATTAATGATATCTGCAATACATTCATGTTGGTTCTGTTCTGTTTACCCTAAGGGGGGTTATTGCTGCTCTTATCCATGCTAGGCTGTTCTTGCCAAGAACAGAACCATACCGCCAATCCGAACTGTATCCTAATTGTCAATCGTCTTTGACGACAGTGGTCCTGACAGAATTAGTTATAAATCCTGATTAGCAAAAAGTCCAGTCTCTTGGGTTTATGAAGACTTTTATAGCAGGTCTGGTGTAGTTAACTGCACACATGAAGCAGTTAACATGTTATGACCAAAGCAGAACATGACCCGCATCATTGAGGTGCAGTACCAGTGTCAGTAGTTTTCAGCTTCAGGAGGTAATGATCCATTTCCTGGACTTTTACTGAAGACAGCAGGAGTGAGCTTTTATTGAACAGAGATATTTTTTTAAAGGTACAAAATTTAAAGAAATACACCATTCAAGTTTGGGGTCGGGGCGATTTCTGAAATGTTTTCGAAAGAAGTCTCTTATGCTCACCAAGACTGAATATATTTGATCAAAATAGTAATATTGTGAGAAAATTTTACAATTTAAAAATAACCGTTTCTATTTTAATATATTTTTAAATATAATTTATTTCTGTGATGGTATAGCTGGATTTTCAGCATCATTACTCCAGTCTTCATTGTCACATGATCCTTCAGAAATCATTCAAATATGCTGACTTGGTGCTCAAGAAAAATGTATTATTATCAATGTTGAATGTTTATTTTTTTCCCCAGATTCTTTGATCGTGACTGTGATCATAGATTCACAGATGTGATCTCTCTTCACATTAACAATCTCCTTTTCCGCCTTCTCTTCTTTCTCTCTCCAGGTCTCGCAGCATCAGCCCTGATGGCAGAGTGGAGTCTGAGCCCATACATTCTGATATATTTCTGGCTATGAAGTCTGAAGTTCTAAATGTCTGGATCTCTGAGGCGATGGAGAGGTGCTGAAGGTCCAGTTCAGTACACTCTACTGGAGCATGAAGCCCCCAGGCTGTCTGCTGCTCTACGGCACAACAGGGTCTCACTGTAGACTGTCCTCCTGACAGAGTGAGAATGACATGCTGGCTGTAGAGGGCAGAGTCTAAAGAAGAAACATCATGTGTTTCTGTTGCTTGCATGATGACTCTCGTTGCTGGATCAGTGCAGGCTGAGCTTCGCACCAGAGGAAGAAACTCACACTCATGCAGGCCAAGATCAGAGGTTATCGTGGTGGTGATGTCATCAAGCATGCAGGGGTCCTTCAATGGCAGGCAAGGATCTTACAGGATACAGATTACAAAAGTCAGGCACACAGTCATTGAATCTCTTTCTTTCTCTGATGTTTTTGGGTCACATGACCCAGAGAGGATGTTCATTTTACCAAAAATGTTAATGTTAATCGCATTGGACTAAAACTTACTGCTCACACAGTGGTACAACTACTTTATAATTTTTTGGGATAAATGTTGTACTTTTGGGGATTTTTCCCCACCTTGTTACTTGTGGTGTTTCAGGTCAAAAATAACCGGCCTACAAAAAAAAAAGCTTATAAATCTCTCGTTATGTCAGGGCTCTGTTACTTCTGTCTAGTCTATTTCTTGGTTTTGTGACAGAGCCCTGACACTCCTGTTTTGTCTTGTCTGTGTGCCTTGTTTCATGTGCATTCGTGTCTTGTGCTGTGTTGCAGAAAGCTTGTGTTTCACACTAGCTGTGTGCTTTCATGTTGTCATGTTTTGTGTGAACACGTGGCTTATGAGTGTTTTCATTTGCTGCGTGTTCATGTCTCGTTTTGTGTGAGCACATGGCTGGTGATTGGTTTTACTGGCCATGTGTTTGTGTTCAAGTCATGTTTGGTGTGAGCACATGGCTTGTAATGTATGTTTCCTTGTGCCATGTGCTCTCCTGGGTAGGGTTGCACCAGCCGTTCGTAAGTTCTTTCTTAAATTGTAACGTAAAGTTCACACTAGAGGCTTAGTAACTACTAGGGATGGGAATTGAAAACTAAGTTTTACGATCCATCGATATTGTATGCCCTCGACGTTAACGAGTCCTCTTATCGATGCTCCTGCTCTGAGTCAGCCATATGTATGTAGGCTACAGACCGTGAACTCACAACTGTCCTTTTTGTCCTTTATCAAGCACCATAGCACGGCATCCAAAGCGAATTTTTGTACTGCCAAAGTCTTATTTGATCGGTGAGTAAATTTGCCTCTATCTGGTAATGTAGATGAACCGCTGCGCTTGTGACAGGGCGCATGTTTAACTGAACGAGCAGAGAGAGAGAGGCCCGGTCGCGCGCGCACTCTCTCTCTTCGGAGCAAGGCGGCTTCACCGTCTCAAAACTAAGCGCTGTCTTGCTCTCTCTCCCTCGCACATATTAATCAAAATAAACGCCACAATGGTAAGGTCGGGAGACTAAAGTTTCATGTGGAGCATTCGGAGATTTGTTTTTCCTGAATTACCGCTGGGTGTGAATTGTGCTAAAATACGTTGCCTTATCTTCTCTGAAAAGCGTTCCGCACATTCAGCTGACATAAACCACACTTCAAATACACGGAAAAAAAAAACTCGAGAAGGAATGGCGGAAGGCAGTGACCGTGCTCGGGAGATTTTCCAGCCTTATAAGAGGAACAAATCTGAGGTGTGGTCATATTTTGGCTTTTACAAAAATCCTGAGGGAAACTTGGTCGAGGATGGTCACCCTGTCTGCCGAACAAAACGTCGCTGCAATAGAAACACTTCAAATCTGCCGAGTCGTCTTGTGTGACCATCATCCAGTGTTGTATAGCGAACGCACGGCAAGTTAACTTTGACCTCAATACCAAAACTACGTCTGGGAAATAATAATTGGGCAAAAAATGTTGTTTTGAGTTGAAATATTTTATCTCACTCACTTGAAATAGACGTGAAGCTTCCGCGAAGAAAAGTTTGCAGCAAGTGGCTTTGAGCCAAAGACGAACGGACAACTTCAAACAATACTATTATTAAGAGTGACATTTTAAGGGATAGTAATGTACAGATTCATTGTACACTGATTACACCGATTTTTTTACCACATAATTACGTGGACATATTGAATTGAGATTAATGTGTTAAATCTTGCCTGTTTATAAATCCATTTTGTACAGCGTACAAAACAATCGTCCAGACAAGATGATCACAACAATATTATCAAACTCTGTAAACAAATCAACTCCGATTTCATTTTCAATACAATCAAAAAACGGAGACGCAAGACGGCAAGTTGTATTTGAATGAAACAAGAGCGCGCGTCCGTTGTGATGCATAGATGTGCGCTGTGTAATAATGCGTTGCTATTGACGACGGTCATTATAAAGAAGGAAATGGCACAGAATAGAATCTTGCTTAAAAAACTGCATAGAGCTGCTTATTTATTTGTTGTTTGTTGATTTTCAAATATAAAACTTGTTGAAATGTTTTCAGTGTGAGCATCAGTTCTTTTTGAACACTTTCATATCATTTTAACAAAACCGTGATAATATTGATAATCACGATAATTTTGGACACTATAATCGTGATATGAAATTTTCATACCGTCCCATCCCTACACCATTTGTTCATAAGGTAGAACGTGGCTAGTAGGTCATAAACTCTCCGTACAGTAATGCGTAGTCGCATAATATGACGTTTAACCTCGAAGAACCAATAGCAGCCTTCAAATACGTGAGCAGAAGTTGCGTTGAAATGCCATGAATTTCAGTTTATCCTTCATCCTAACTTCTTTTGCCTCACGTTACTAACAGTAAAAATAAGTTTCCATTTAATACGATACTTGATCATGAATAACATGTGTTTTTATATATAAATAACATTCAGAAACTGTATTTGAAATGAAATTAATAAGGATCAATAAATAAATATTGATACAAAAACCAAGAAATTACGTTTATGGATTATGACCGATATTTGACATGCACAACATGGACCGATGCACAACGGCGCTGTTTAGGACGGGTTTGTGTTAAAGAGCCGCAAACAAAGTAATCTGTTCACATAATGTTCTGTCTCTTAAAGGGATAGTTCACCCAAAAATGAAAATTCTGTCAGTATTTACTCACCCTCATGTTGTTCCAACCCTGTAAGACCTTCGTTCATCTTCGGAACACGAATTAAGATATTTTTGATGAAATCTGAGAGCTGGATCACTCCTCCATACTAGTCCATAGGCTTCTTCAGGGATTGAACTTGCCGGCCTCGAAAAGTTATTAAAGACATTGGACTATTTTAACAATGTCTTTAATAACTTTTGGGCCGGTCAGTTTCGATCCCTTAAGAAGCCTATGGAGGAGTGATCCAGCTCTCAGATTTCATCAAAAATATCTTAATTCGTGTTCCGAAGATGAACGAAGGTCTTACAGGGTTGGAACAACATGAGGGTGAGTAATTACTGACAGAATTTTCATTTTTGGGTGAACTAACCCATTAAAATGTAAGCGAGAGTAAATGTCAGCATTATTATATGTCTAAAGAATTGAAGTCTGTCAGGTAAAAGAAGAGCTTATTGATGCAGTTCAGTCTGTCTGATATTTTATTCCAACCGTTACTCCTGATTGGAGGCTGCCATAAATATTTAGTTGGAATTTAGAGTTACATTTAAACTAAGTTTAATGATGCAACGTAAAAATATTTAGTACTGCGTAAGTTGTAACTTAGTGCCCATTTACGTAAAAACTAGGTTAAGTTGTAACTTACGCACAGCTGGTGCAACCGGCCCCTGTTGATTGTCTAGCCCCTCCCATCTTGTTACCTGTTTATTGATTTGTTTGCCCCACCTGTCCTCCCTCATTACCTGATTGATTCATTTGCCCCACCTGTCCTCCCTCGTTACCTCCTTTGTTTGGTCTCCCTATTTATTCTCCCTGTGTTTGCAATCCTGCACTGTTTCGTTGTCGAATGTACCTCTTGTGTCCTACCTAGATGCTGTTGTCAAGTCAAAGTCAGTCTTGTTTTCCCCCTCTGGGTAGTATTTGTTTTATTTTTTATACTTATTAAAAATCAAATTTTCCTGCAATTGAGTCCTCGCTTCATCTCCTCAACCCCACACCTGACACGTTATGCTATATCATCACCAAATATTGGATTCAATGTTTTTGTCAACTTGTTTTCTTTCAATTAGGACAGGTTTTTTCAATTTCTTTTTGAAACTGACTGATTGTAGGCCTCATTGATCTGAGCTTATATTGGTCAAAAATTACCATCCATTGAAAATAAGAGAACAATTTAGTGTTCAGGAGCATGTTCATCATGTTCATACTCACATACTGTATGTATATGTGTGCTTGCAAACATAAAAGCCTCGCATCATAGTAGATGTAAGAATTACACTATCGCACTATACACTAAACTTGAATTTTCAATGTACTATTGAAGTTGATTTCTGGACCTCGTAATGTTTTTTTTTTTCCTACAATTGTTATTGTACATATCTGATATAGCATTAGCACATCCCCTCCCCACACACACTCTCTCTCCTGTCCCACCTACTTTGTAAAACAAAGTTACGCCACTGACACACACAAATTCATGTACACAAACAAATTATTTAGATTTTTTTTTTTTTCACAGAGATTGACTTTATCCTCAGATCAATGAGGCCTACGATCAATCACTTAAAATAAATAGAAAAACCTCTCCTAATTAAAAGGAAACAAGTTGACAAAAATATTGAATCCAAAATTTGGTGATAATATAGCATAACAAGAGATTTATAAGTTACTGTTTTTCTAGGCTGGTCATTTTTTGTCCAGGAACACCACAAAGTGTAACTTTGTGCCATTTTGTGCAAAATAAAAGCATTTCAAAACAAACTTCATGGTTAAACATTAAAGCACACTAGAATTTTTTTTCTCCATATTTTGTTAAATATTGATAACATTATCCACAAATAATGCTTTTTTCACTCAAAAACTGAGGTGCATAAGCTCAGATCAATGATCAATAATTTCCAGAAATAAATACAGAACCTGTCCTAATTGAATGAAAACAAATTGAAAAAAAGGTTGAATCCAATATTTGGTGATAATACAGTATAACAAGTGATTTACAAGCAATTTTTAAAAGCCTGGTCATGTTTGACCACGAACACCAAAGGTCTTACAGGGTTTTCAACACAGAGTAAGGGTTAAAGGGTTAGTTCACCCAAAAATGAAAATTCTGTCAGTAATTACTCACCCTCATGTTGTTCCAACCCCGTAAGACTTTCGTTCATCTTCGGAACACAAATTAAAATATTTTTGATAAAATCTGAGAGCTGGCTCA